AATTTAATAAGGAATGAGACTTGTCAGCCCCTTCTCTTTTAATTTGTGTTTTTACTTTATCCTGCCTCCTCCCTTTTACTGTTTGAGGGGACAGACATTAAGAGTAAGAATGACTTTACAACATGTAGGTGTTGCTAAAAGCTGTTTAGAAGAAACAATTTGCTTAGCTTCTGCACAAGTACAAATTTCTTTTTCTAACCATATTGTTTGATTCCACCCATGCTGACTGATGTAATTTTCAACCAAATTTCATAGTATAATGAATAAGAAAGATGGTAAGTTTTGAGGTCAGTAAAGAAGTATAGAAAGATGTTTTTAGAATATAGAAAACATCTTTCTATATTTCTTTTCCTTACCGTTTTTTTTTTAATCTTTACAAAACATGACGCTTAATTTCAGCATTGCCGATTCTGATAGTATGCTGGACATGTGTCATTTGAACTTCGTAAAGGGCCTTGCTCACCATAAAATCTCTGTGACTGACTCAGTGGTAGAGCATCGGAGCGCGGAATCCGAAGGTCTGAGGTCTAATTCCTTATGGGGGTTCAGAATGTTTTCTTTGTCACACGGTCGTGACTAGACTAAAAACATCTTTCTAAATTTGATATTGTTTGGAATATTCTTCGATCTGCTTGTATCAATAATCAACAGGTCAGCTTTTTAAAATCTTTGATATACATCAACATAATTACATGAAATCTTGCAGATGCACATGTATGTGGCACATTAAATTTTCTCCTGACTCTATTAACGTTGTATTACTAGCAGGGATTGGTCATGGTCATAAATCAGTATAGTCAAATTCTATCATGTTAGCTTAATCTGAAGATGGCATTTTAGACATGGCATTTAGATGCCACCAATTTTTCCATTGGACCAGGATACATTAAGCTCCCGTCCGCAGACCCCACTAGGGTCTACGAACCACCCCAAAAGTAGATTAAAAATAATACATAAATTAAGATTTCACTGACTCGGTGTCTAATAGATCACTTCTATATGCGAAATTTTTAGCGTTACTCAGTGCAAATGTAACAGACTTGGGTTCAGGCTGTGCTGCAGGTTATATCATTGCACATTGCCATTTCCTTTGCTGTGGCTATCTGTGAAAGACCGGGCTGCCTCGAAATTTGTTCTTTCTTTCCCTTCGCCATACTTTGTTTTACCCTTCCTCTTTCGTGGAAGCCATGGTTGGCTACGGAGCCCGCAAAGGGCAATGACAAATTATAATTATTTTACGAGTTATGTGATGAGTTATGTGACGAGTTGTGACGAGTTATTTGACGAGTTATTTGACGGGTTATGTGACGAGTTATTTGACGAGTTATGTGACGAGTTATTTGACGGGTTATGTGTGGAGTTATTTGACGAGTTATTTGACGAGTTATGTGACGAGTTATGTGATGAGTTCTGTGACGAGTTATTTGACGAGTTATGTGACGAGTTATGCGACGAGTTACGCGACTATCGTAATACACGTGCGCAAGTAAGTCCGAGATGGCTACTGAGATGGACATGGCGGATTCGGCGGATACAACAAGCGACTAAACACATGAATGGCTCCGACATGTAATTGGATGATAAAGATAGTAAAAGTTAACAAGTTACATCCTAACTCCTTGCTCGTGAGTATTGTTTAACCTTGTGTTTCGATGCAGCTAGAACAATGAAATGTCATTGCGAGTGAAAACACCGATGTGTCAAATTAACAAGAAATGGTTACTTACAATAACGAAGGGAAGGCAAAAGCCTTTCTTGTACAGCGAGGTTGTTCAGCGGTATTCCGGTGATGACAAAGTCATTCGCTGATTAGCTCCGCTAACCAAACTCATTTAGTCAGGTGAAGCGGACGACCAGAGACTGGAGTGGGTCCCCTATACTTTTTACGTGAAGCGTGATTGAGCGATTTTTTTTCTCGTGAATCGGGAATTGACTTTTTTGATAATTTTTTAATCGATTTTTTTTAAAAAAAGTTTGAACCAAACTAATGAGCAGCACTTCTGTGATTAGAACTTAAAACTTCGTTCTCCGACGCGTATGAGAAACTTAGCTTTTCGTAAGTGTAACTGCCCTTACAAGACCAGGATATTTTTCATCAATGCGACTTTTGAAAATGAGTTTTATTGAAACTGTTCAAAAATGTCCTTTTTTATGAATTTATGACTAAAAAGAATGAAGTGGCATGTACGAAAACCTCAAATGGAGTAGAGAACATGTCTGTAACTACCTTTCGTTGTAACCGTCAAAACCTCCAAAAATAATTACTATAAGCAGTTTTCTGCGAAAAGCCGGCTTCAGGTGGCGAAAAGAAGGAAAGTACTTACCTTCCACGATGCGTGGCTGAATATTGCCACGAAGATTTGTTTTTATATAGGTTGTTTTAGCTTGTTTACGCTGAGCAATTCCGGTAGCCAGGAACTAGTTCACGAAACCCACAAGAGAATGGGCCGAACAAAATTGCGGAGAGAAAAAAAGCACAAATTTCGAGGATTCATGGTCTTTCATAGAGGCTACAGGAAAGGAAAGAGCAGCTGGGTATATGTAATGACAAAAATTGGTGAAGAAAATAGTCAAATCTGGCTCAATCAAGAGGATATACGAGAGAAGCCCATAAGATTCTGGCGTATTGTTTCATTGACGCACTGTTCTCACGTGTACCCCTCGA